CCGATTGGTTTCATTTACTGTTGTCCTACTTTAATTGTAAGGGGGAACTGATTTGTTTAATGTATTATGTCCTACTTTAGCTGTAAGGGGTAGTTGCTTTCTTTCATGTACTGTGTCCTACTTTACTTGTAATGGAGAACCGATTTGTTTCATTTACTGTGTCCTACTTTACTTGTAATGGAGAACCGATTTGTTTCATTTACTGTGTCCTACTTTACTTGTAATGGAGAACCGATTTGTTTCATTTACTGTGTCCTACTATACTTGTAATGGAGAACCGATTTGTTTCATTTACTGTGTCCTACTTTACTTGTAATGGAGAACCGATTTGTTTCATTTACTGTGTCCTACTTTACTTGTAATGGAGAACCGATTTGTTTCATTTACTGTGTCCTACTATACTTGTAAGAGAGAATTGATTTGTTTCATGCAGGTTATAAAGTAAGACAACCTAAAATTCATTATTGTAGAACTTGAATAAATAAAATAAATTCTATAAAAAATGTATATGTACCATGGAAGAAACCATTTTTTCAGCTGCTCGAAAAAAACCGCCATTCAGGATGATATAACAAACCTGAGTAGCACCTGGCTCGCTACCTCATCCTGATTGGTTAAAAACTATGCATTGATCATCAAATCAGAGAACCTGGGTAATATCAAGCTGTCTGATTTGATGATTAACAATTACTTTTCTCTACTAATTTCTGCTTGTTATTAACTACAATAACTAACTATTAATTTGTTTTAATTGATTCTTTATACATGCCACTTTGCAATACTTAAGTTTCCTTACTTCCATTGAACCTTAGATATTCATATGCTTATACATTCATAATTTGTAATATGGTATAATAAACAAGCAGTCAAAATTATTCAGATGTAAATGTCGTATAATAAAGAAACAGGCATTTGCACGTATAGAATGTGGAAAGTTGTATAATACAAAAATTCACATTCAAGTGACCAAGTATGGAATATTATAGAATACAGAAATAGACATTCATAATGACCCTGTTTGGAATGTTGTATAATACAGACATAGGCATGAAAATTACTCAGTTTGGAGTATCAAACAATAGACGATAGTTTGGTAATGTTTTTAAGACAAGCTTCACCAGTTTTTATAGAAAGTTACGAGACTTGTTTAATGCTGGTGTTTGTGAACAAACTTCTCGTGTCAAGTTTTAACAAAATTCTCGGCAGCTTTTAAGACACGATGGTCGTGTCTCGATTATTAATAAGTATGATCCGTTTAATTGAATTTCGTGACGCACAATGAAGAAGAATGGGCTTTAATGAGAAAGCAGCGTGATATTACGGACTTAAATGGCACGCGCTGTCTACGTAACGATATTATTTTTATGTCGTGGAGTCTATAATAAAATTTTTCAAGGGTTATAGAAATCAACCAAATTGTCTAGTTTGTGAATTTCCGCGGAACACATTGTGGAACTCATAATTAAGAAGTGATAAAACAGTGTGTAAGTCCTCAACATCCACTTTGAATGTTTTTTTTTTTAGGTTTTCAAGAACTTCTTAATAATACATTCCTGCTTAGAGCACAAGCGTTCTTAGCCCGAAAATAGCAACACGAAAATATATTTAATATTTGGTGACTTCGTTAGTATAAACTAATTTCATCCCCATGTTCCACGTGCTTTTCGTCTTCCACTCGAGAAGCGCGTCTTATATTTTATGTAGTCTATAGTTATTCATGCTGTTGAATCAAATAAAGACAAAAAGATAACACTGAAAATAATTAATAGAACAACAGTGAAGTTTATTTTAAACAAAACATTAACGAGAAATATAGTAACACAGAGTCCGTATATTTTGAATTTATAATAAGAGAAACACAACTATAGAACAAACTAAAAATATCAGACAGTAACTTCAAAAATGTTTTTTATTTGTTTCGTTAAAAATAACAGATTAACATAAACCCGGAAGAACACGAAATCTGCATATCATTATTTTTTGTCATAATAAGAATGCAGCCATAATTTAGAACAAAAAAAAATGAGTCAAAGAAGTTGATTTACAATATATATTAAAAAATACAAATTGTTATTAGCAGTTAAAAGATTTACTTAGGAGATGATACATTCGAAATATTCAAACTTAATATTTTAAGATACGTTAACGTTGCTAAACAACATTAATTATACACTAAATGTATTTCACTTCTGATTAAAAGAGCAAAAACAAACTAAAGAAAATGAAGAAATAATAAAAACAGATACAAACAACGTTATTTACAGAATAGTTTTGTTTTAGATAAGAGAAAATAAAATAAAGTAGTCCTTTAAGATATCCATATTTTTATTATTAAATGCATTAAAATGTTTAGAACAGAAAAATTGATTATAATGTTCGTTCCCGAGAAGCTATGTTTCTGAATTCTAGCTTTGATCGCAGATTCTCTACATTCTAACACATGACACACAGACACACTTTGTTTCTGAATCTAACCTTGATCGTAGATTCTCTACATGTGTCTGTGTGTCATGTGTTAGAATGTAGAAAATCTACGATCAAGGTTAGATTCAGAAACAAAGTGTGTCTGTGTGTCATGTGTTAGAATTTTTAATTATCAACATTACCTATCCTTAGGCCTGGTTGTTAAGAAGCTTAACTCACGACTCACAAGCTATGGATTACTGATTCGAATCCCGTCACCTAACATGCTCGCTCTTTCGGTCGTGAGGGCGTTATAACATGTCGGTCAATCCCATTATTCAATTAGAATAACCCAAGAGTGTGCGGTGGGTGATGTTGATTAGCTGCCTTCCCTCTAGTCTATCACTTCAGAATTAGGGACGACCAGCGCAGATAACCTTTGAGCAGCTTTGCGCAAAATTAATAAAACCGCGTGCTTTATGCAGCTACTTTTAATTATTGTTTTTTTAACCAGTCCAACTACGTGGAGTATGAAGCATTACAATATATTTTATGAATTATTGTTTAATAGTTTATCTTTGAATAGAAAACAACAACAAAATACACTGATTTACATTCGCTAGATGAGTTATTTGTTTACTTTGCACGTCCGTTTAAAACATTCGATTTTGTTACCTCACATTTGCTCTATAAGTAATTTAGGTCAGTTCGATCAAGATATAATGTTCAAAATTATCTAACAGAAAAATAATATGTTATTTGAAATGTTGTCATATATTTAAAGCGACATTACTTGATTAACAGTATTTGTCAAAATTCAGGTTTTATAACCCCAAGTAAAGATTCGGGTTTATAGCACCAAGTAAAGGCTCGGATTTACAACCCCAAGTAAAGTTTCAGGTATATAACAACAAGTATAAACTGGGTTTGTATATCAAGTAAATAATCCGGTTTATAACACCAAGTAAAGACTCGGATTTATAACACCAAGTAAAAACTCGGGTTTATAGCACCAAGTAAAGATTCGGATTTATAACACCAAGTAAAAACTCGGGTTAATAACACCAAGTAAAGATTCGGATTTATAACACCAAGTAAAGACTCGGGTTTGTAATACCAAGTAGAGACTCGGGTTTATAGCACCAAGTAAAGACTCGGGTTTATAACACCAAGTAAAGATTCGGATTTATAACACCAAGTAAAGACTCGGGTTTATAGCACCAAGTAAAGACTCGAGTTTGTAATACCAAGTAAAGACTCGGGTTTATAGCACCAAGTAAAGACTCGGATTTATAACGCCAAGTAAAGACTCTGGTTTATAGCACCAAGTAAAGACTCGGGTTTATAGCACCAAGTAAAGACTCGAGTTTGTAATACCAAGTAAAGACTCGGGTTTATAGCACCAAGTAAAGACTCGGGTTTATAACACCAAGTAAAGATTCGGATTTATAACACCAAGTAAAGACTCGGGTTTGTAATACCAAGTAGAGACTCGGGTTTGTAACACGAAGTAAAGACTCGGACTTGTTGAACCAAATTAAAAAATAGGACACTTCTAAATTTATTTGTATGTATAATTCACATTTCATGATATATAGTTAATTATATGATGCTACACAACTGTTTATCAACCCACACATGATTAAAAATACAACCCGATATTGAGTTGGAAACACGTGATGCATGATTAAAAATACAATCAATGTTGCTACAAACTCAAATTAGAATATACTTTTAGATAATTATCAGACTTTGTTTGACGAACACAATCCAAAAGTGAAATTATCTCCTCATAAGCTTTAATTTATCACGATTGTAATTAAAGAGTTTAATTTAGATATAAGTCAGGGAATCTCTCCAACATTCAACATAATACTCTCCTGACATATCAACATACACTTGAAGTAGTAATGATTGTTTCAAAAAACCCAGTAAGCCAGTTTTGAAACAAAATGCATCTGGATAAGTAATTATCAAAATCGTAAAATTTCTAGCATGTTTTAAATGATTTCACCATAAAAGATTTTAAAGAAACTGCTTGGAAATATTGTTTGGTTTAGTTCACATTATTGAATGACATATAGGGCCACCCGAAAAAGTAACCAACTGCACTTGGTTACACGATACCAGTGATTTTGTACATGTGGAGTGCAAACCGGGCCACGACGGAGGACTTCGACAACAGTTTCAGCTCGAGGTGTACAATGCAGAGTGGAAACATTTACAAATCAACCTAACAAGCCACAAGAAACCAGTTTTCCAAATCCCTGGCGTGGCTCCTGGAGCATCTCTGGTACTAGTGATATACGCCATTAATGCCAAAGGGAGAAGTCCTATTGTAGAGATGAACATTCAGACCAGTCTGTTCGCGGAAAGACACTTTGGTAAGTTGACCTGGAACGTTTTTTTTTTTACCTTATATTCTGCTCGATTAGCCTTACTGAAACCAACTTTAACAGAAAGTTTACTAAGAGAGTAACTTCGGAAACCAAACTAACCTTAACTTCATCTTTGTCTGAGTTCAGTTGATTGATGATACCGTATGTCTGATGATTATACTGTATGTTGTTTTCTAATAAAACTTCGGTTGGCTTTAGAGTTTTTCATCATCAATGCGCAATATTGCATAACAAATCGAAAACTTCTTATATTCACACTAATACAGAAGGGAACTATTCCACAGGAAAAACTTGACAACATTTGGGACTTGAAACTATTCATACTACTGGAGAAGGGAACTATTCCACAGGAAAAACTTGACAACATTTGGGACTTGAAACTCGGGCTATGACTCTTCTACTGTTCATACTACTACAGAAGGGAACTATTCCACAGGAAAGACTTGACAACATTTGGGACTTGAAACTCGGGCTATGACTCTTCTACTGTTCATACTACTACAGAAGGGAACTATTCCACAGGAAAGACTTGACAACATTTGGGACTTGAAACTATTGAATTTCTTGGGTGCTAGAGTGTTTTAGTAGATTAAAAGTAGGCGGCTACAGTGTTGTAGTATAGCGTTTATGGTTCTGAAGTGTACGTGACTTAATAATCACACAGTTTTAGTAACTTGTTCTTAAGTAGAAAATTAACTTTCTATGTGAGCTGTAAAATATACTTCTCACCATCGACTCTGGTGTTACGAAGAATGAGAAAAATGATGAACGCCATCATTATTAGACCAGCCACTATCCCAAACAGTACTCCCAGCAATGGCTTCAGAGGTGAACTCGGAGTATTTCCTAAAAAAAAACATTGAAAAATATGTTAAAAGAAAACCTGTTCTCAGTGTTAGTATGAACAGTAGAAGAGTCATAGCCTGAGTTTCAAGTCCCAAATGTTGTCAGGTTTTTCCTGTGGAATAGTTCCCTTCTCCAGTAGTATGAACGTTTTCGTTATATGAGATTTTTTTACTATTATATTGATCTATTTTTAAACTTTTTTTTGTATAAAATAGTTTTTCACAAATGTGGTAAAATTAAAGAAGATTGAGCCAATTACATAATTATGGATTTTTATTTATGATATATTGTGATCTGTGAAAACACATTTACTCATCTCAATGGACTGGGCGAAAGCTAATAGTTAGTGTGCCAGGCTGCGGATCGGGTGGTCTAACGTTCGAGTCGCCTTTTTTTTGCTAACTACGTTTATAACTTAACGCTGTGAGAGTATTATAACTGTGACAATTAATCCTGCTATTCCTTCCAGAGTTGTCATTTAGGTGGCTGGTATTTCTTATCGATTTTCCCCCATCTGCTCAGTAGCTCTATATTACGGATGGCTCTACCTGAGCCCCCTGGTGTTTCTTACCCTACCTTTGCATAATGTGCAGGATGTGGCATATTGTCAGCGAGTATGTTTGGTGACAGGAGTCGAGTCTGCGAACCGTTTATTGCAATCATCCTATTATTTTCCTGCAGTAAAAATGCTAAGTTATTTTATTGCAACAGGAATTAAATTTCCAACAGAATGTAGTCCGTTTTTTAAATGAAACTTAAAGTTTAGCTGTGTTTAATAAACTAGCATTAAGTACTTAAGTTACAGTGTTTATGTTTCCTTACACTGATCAAGGCTTATCGTAGCTTTACAGTGTTTAAACTGATACTTATGTTTCTTTATACTGAGTAAGGCTTATCATAGCTTTACAGTGTTTAAACTGATACTTATGTTTCTTTACACTGAGTAAGGTTTATCATAGCTTTACAGTGTTTAAACTGATACTTATGTTTCCTTACACTGAGTAAGGCTTATCATAGTTTTTATCAGTTTAAACACTGTAAATTGGAGTTCATGTATTTAATTCAGTTGTAGTCTATGTTTCACGTACTTAAAGCATTTTTAAATGGAAGAAATAGACTTAAGTTGAAGAATATTCATCTATAATCAATACCAGTTGCATACAAACAGTGTAAGGAAACATAAGTATCAGTTAAACATTGTAAAACTACGATAAGCCTTACTGAGTGTAAAGAAACATAAGTATCAGTTTAAACACTGTAAAGCTACGATAAGCCTTACTCAGTGTAAATAAACATAAGTATCAGTTAAACATTGTAAAACTACGATAAGCCTTACTCAGTGTAAATAAACATAAGTATCAGTTAAACATTGTAAAACTACGATAAGCCTTACTCAGTGTAAAAAACATAAGTATCAGTTTAAAAACTGTAAAACTACGATAAGCCTTACTCAGTGTAAAGAAACATAAGTATCAGTTTAAACACTGTAAAACTACGATAAGCCTTACTCAGTGTAAAGAAACATAAGTATCAGTTAAACATTGTAAAACTACGATAAGCCTTACTCAGTTTAAAGAAACATAAGTATCAGTTTAAACACTGTAAAGCTACGATAAGCCTTACTCAGTGTAAATAAACATAAGTATCAGTTAAACATTGTAAAACTACGATAAGCCTTACTCAGTGTAAAGAAACATAAGTATCAGTTAAACATTGTAAAACTACGATAAGCCTTACTCAGTGTAAAGAAACATAAGTATCAGTTAAACATTGTAAAACTACGATAAGCCTTGATCAGTGTAAGGAAACATAAGATGTACATATGTGAAACGCAGACCACAAATGATTTAATTACGCGAAACATACATTACAACTGATTTAAGTACATAAAACTCAGTCGTCAGTTAATCTAAATATAGAAACACAGGCTACAGTTGATATAAATCTTTGTAACGGAAGCTTAGTTGATTTTAATATAAAAGTTATTGTCAGTATCGTTAAGTAACATTATCAACATTTAATCAGCCATTATTGAGCATTACGTTCAGAAAATCTAACGTTATCGCCAATATTTTCCCTTTTTTAGGATACCAAATGTTGGAAATATTTTGTTTTTATAATGGAAATGCCTGGCCATTAAATATTTAGAATATCTCATGATATATTTGTTTATTTACAGATCGTCATGAGGGCGAGCATCACAAAAACCGCAGGTAAGTAATGAACATCTCAATGTTGGAGATATGTTATTCTACAGGCATGTATTTCCCAATCAACAAGTATTGAATAATGACAAAGTTTCTGTCTAGACTCCTTCAACAATGCTTTGTTAAAATAACTATATTTAGCACATAGATCACTGTAACAAACCAGTTTAATTGTGGCATTGTAAGATTAATTTATTTAGAAAGTTAGACAAGGCTAGTGCTGAAATGTAAAATTAAAAGCCGTGTTGAAAGCTAGAATAGAAAGCAAGTGGTGAAACATATAGAACAAAACAACTACTAAATATCAGGAGAGAAATTTATTGCTGATAGTTAGAACATTGAGATAGTGCTGAAAGTACAAGTTTATAATTGTTCTGGTAGTTAAAACACAAAGATATCGCTGAACGTACAAGTTTATAAGTGTTCTGGTAGCTAAAACACAAAGATAGCGCTGAAAGTACAAGTTTAT